GGGCTCTCCCCGTGGGGAGGGGACCCTGGCAGCAGCTCAGGCCATGGCAAGCCTGAGCAGCAAGTGGCCTGAGCTGACCTCCAACCTGCTGAAATAAAATGCTCCATTTTGAGCCAGGTCAGCTCTCTGAACTGGCTTGCCACACAGCTGTGTGCCCCTATGGCCAGCACAAGGGAAAGAAATACATGACTCAGGCAGGAGGGGGCCAGGAGTGACAGAGGACTGCATGGCTGCCTCCCCCCCCGCCCCCCCCAATCGCCAGCTGCTTGCTCTTGCCCCAGTCACTGCTCAGCTGGGCTGGCACGCCGTGGGGCAGGGCGGGTTTGGGAAGGAGCAGCCGGGGCAGGGCTGGGCGGAGGTGACTTGAACTGCTGCCACGCATTGAACTCTGTCCTCTGCCCGCTGCTCCTTCCCTGCGGGTGAGGTCCTGTGGCAAATGGGGGGGCACCCCAGCCCCGGTGGGGTCACTGGTGGGCAGGGGGGTCACTGGCGGGCAGGATGGGGCACTGAGACTGCCTGGTTGACTGAGATGAGGCAGGCGCTAACGAGGAGGAGAACCCTGGGCTAATTGGCCTCTGTGACTCCCTGCAGCCCAGGAGCTGTGACCGCCCATGCCGGCAGCCTCATTGCCTGCACCCTGGGATGGGGCAAGGCCAGAGGGCAGGCAGCCTGTCCTGGGAAAAGGCGAGCCGCAAGAGTAACTAGTGGCGTTTTTCCTCTCTCACTTCAGTGTGAAACCTGGAGGAGAAACCACCCCCCTTACCACGGGTACCAGCTGCCTGGACAAGATGCGGCTCAGAGGGAAACGGAGCACGCTCCCGCGTACCCAGCATCAGTAGCAGGTGCTGCCTGGGGCAAGGGCTGTGGGAGGGCACCCGTCCTGGTGGGACATCCCTCCCGCTGGCCTCAGTCCCCCTGGCAGGTGACTTTGGACATGCTCTGCATTGCAGCCAGCCAGGCCCTGGGCGTGATCTCTGCCTTTGGCCACCTACCCACACTTTCCCACGTGGCCAGCGGTCCCTGGGTGCAGGTGACCAGGCACCCGCAGCACGCGGGGAGCTGCCATGACCATGCAGAAGGCCTTTTCTCACGCCCGGTGATTACCTTCACAAACACCGGCACTTCAGGCCTGCCCTTGAGAAGCAAACACTAATTTCAGCCGCACCCTTTCCTGCCCCGGGGCTGCAGGGCGAGGGTATCCTCAATGTATGCTGTATTCACCGACCAGGGGTGTGGGACAGGAACCAGCCCTCGTAAAATCGCCCGGATTGAACCTGCTGCCCTCAGCCTGCCAAACCAAACAGAGCTGATGTAAAGCAAACAGCAATGACAACAGCCTGGCTGCTGGCGAGGGTTGGGCAAGCAGCTGGTTTCCAGTTTGCTGGCCTCAGCAGATGGCGGCGGCGGGAAGAGGTGCTGGGAGTTCCCACCCTGCAGGCACCCGACGCGGCAGCCAAGGCCGGGGCAGCCCCGAGGTTCCCTCCTCTCCCATCTGCTGGCGGCGGTCGTGCAACCCCCGGTGCGAAGACAGTGTTTGGGGTTTGAGGGGAGCCCCCGGCTGGTGCGACCCACCCACCTGGCCCCGGCACGGGGGGGAAATGCCGGTGGGTGGGTCTCCCCGCCAGCCGGCTCTCCTCGCCGGGCCTTTTACCTAGGAGGGCTTTGGCTGCCGCGCGCTGTAGGGGAGGAAGCTGATGTCAGAGGGAAAGACACCCAAAGCACACCCAAAGGCTGGCAGCCGGGGAGGAGGCAGGGCACCAGGAGCAGGGCTCTCGGGAGCAGCCCATGCCACCCCGGCGCCGGGAGGAGTGTTTGGTGTGTTTGGTCTGTCTGGCCTCCCCTGGGCGCCGCCGCTGCCGGTCACAGGAGCAACGCCATACGCTGGCACCGGGCAAAGTCCGCCGGGCGGTTTTGGCGGAGCAGGCTTTGCAGAGGATGCTGCCGGCAGGGGAGGGGACGGACCCGGCCTCTCCTCAAGAGATGGACCAGAAAACGCTGCAACATCTGTGGTTCACTTTTCGGCTGCTTTCTTTTTGTTTCAAGGACGCCTTTCTGAGGTTTGCCTGTATGTCCACTTCACACGCGCACCCCCCTCGGCACCCCAGGTGACGAGCACAACAGACCCCAGCAACGCGCGGCGGGTGCTCAGCCCGCGCCTGCAGCGGGGCAAGAGCTCCCACCTGCTCCTCTCAGAGCGGTGCCTGCAGCGCGGCCTTCTGCGGCCATCGGTCCGTCCGTCCATCCATCCATCTGTCCGTCCATCCATCCGTCCCTCCCAGCCCGCCCCAGCCCCAGGCTCTGTCTCCAGCCGGGCTGTTGCCACGGCCGCTCGGGCTCCCCCGGGCAGCG